CAGCTATGCACTACCATGCTCGGTGCCCTTTTAAGTTTATATTTATTTACAGTGCTGTGAATGAAACCCAGGGCCTTCACACTGAGCTACATCTCCAGCCCTTTTTATTTTTTATTTAGGGACAGAGTCTTTCTAAGTTGTCCAGGGTCCAAACTCAGGACCCTCCTGCCTCAGCCTCCTGAGTTCTGGGATGCCAGGCATGTGCCACCATCCTTGGCCCTACCACCTTTGTTATTGATCCTGGTAGCCAAGATTAATGTTTCAAAATGACTTACATCATCCTCCTCAATTGCCTTGAAAAACTTCCTCTCAGGGGTGGGGCTCTGGCTGAGTGGCAAGAGCTTGCCCAGCATGGGAAGGCCCTGGATTCCATCCCAGCACTGCAAAGAAACAAAACAGAAACACCAGACAGTTTCTTTTTGCCACAGGCTGCTGTGTCATATGCTCCCTGCTTAGTCCTAAATAAAAACTCTTTGGATTCCTTCTGTGTCCCCCCTCCCCAAGCCCAGCTCTGGTGATTGAACCCAGGGCCTTCACATTGAGCTATAACCCTAGGCAATTTTTCTTTTTAATTTTGAGACAGGGTCTTACTAAGTCACTAAACTACCCAGGCTACGTTTGAACTTGGGATCCTCCTGCCTCAGCCTCCCAGAGTGCTGAGTGACAGGCATGCACCACTGTGCCCAGCCCTGTGGCGCCTCTTTCCCCTGGAGACAGCTCTGGAGACGAATCCAGAGGAAGAGGGCTGAAGGGGAAGCAGAAACTCAGTCTTCCACTGCAGGCCAGGGGGCTGAGGTGACCCTGGCCTTGGCCACCAAGGGCCTCCTCTTTCTGGTGGGAGGTGTCATGGTGACCCTGGGACCCACCTGCCGTAAAGCAGTCAGCAGGAGGAGGCTGGTTAGACATGGTGGATGCGGACAGCCAGGACCTCGGCCTCGGGTGTGGAGCAGGAGATTTTGGTTCATGTGGGACACTGCCCTGGGGCCAGCTTATTTTCCCAGACCTGGGGAAGTCACCTTGCTGTGGGCTGCAGACATCACCTTAAAGAACACAGTGTTGGGCTGGGGATTTAGCTCGGTGGTTCCGGTGCCTGCCTCGAAAATGCAAGGTTCCGAGTTAGATCCCCGGTACCCCCCAAAAAAAGAACACAGTGTCTTGGGGGTGTGGTGGTGCACGCCTGTCACCCCAGCACTCAGGAGGCTGAGGCAGGAGGATCACCAGCCTGGACTACATAATGAGTTCAAGGGCAGCCTGAACTCATTGCTTATTGAGATCCTGCCTCAAAAAATCAAACTAAGGGGGCAGGGGATTTAGCTCAGTGGTGCTGCTGCCAGCCTCATAAGCACAAGGTCCCGAGTTCGATCCCCAGTACAAAAAAAAAAAAAAGCAAAAAACACAGTGTGGCCACGCTAGGCCCCCCAGGCCCATCCATCCCCGAATCCCACCCTGCCTACATAGAAACCTTCAGGGGCAGCTGGCAGTCTGGGGAGCACCTGCAGCCCCAACCCTTCCCCTCAAGATGAGGTCACCTTCCTGGCCCTGGCTCCCCGAGTTCATTCCACCCCAGCCCACGGCCTCCACAGGGCTGTTCCCTGGGCTCCACGCACTGTTCCCCCATGCCTGCCCCAGTCCCTCGCCTCCCTGGGGGCTGCCCAGCAAAGCTTCCTATGCCCACCAGCTAAACTGCAAGCCACAGCTACCTTCCCCATTCCTGCTCCTGCTTTCTTTTCTTTTCTTTTCAGCACTGGGGATGGAATCCAGGGCTGTCACACTGAGCTACATCCTGGCCCTTTTTATTTTTTATTTTTTGAGGCAGGGTCTCACCAAGTTGCCCAGGCTGGGCTGGAGCTTGTGATCCTCCTGCCTCAGCCTCCCAGAGTGCTGGCTGACAGATATGAGCCACTTTGCCCAGCTTCCTGCTCTGCATTTGACTTCATTCTTAGCTCCGGCAGGGATGGTCTCGCTGTGTCTCTCTCCCAGCACTGGTGAGCCAGCTCCACCGGGGCAGGGTGTGGGGACAGTGTGTCTGCTCTGCTGTCTGCCGGGTCCCTGGCCCCTGGCACACAGCAGTGCTTAATACGTAGTGGTCTAGGGGATGAATGAATGAAAGAAGGGCTGCGTAAGTGATTCTTGGGGACAACGGCCGCCCTTCTGTGGGAAGGACAGAGCCAGGGAAGCCTCCTCGTGGTGACATCTGGGGCCTAAGTTCAAACATCCTGTCCCCGTGTCCCCAGGGCTGAGTGGACTGCGCTTCCAGGGATGAGTGGATGTGGGAGGAGCCCCACTGGGCAGGCTGCCTCACGAGGGTGTGACTCATGGGACAGAGCCCAGGGAGGACAGGGGCAGGGAGATGGCGGTGGGAGGAGCCACTGCCCCCCACGCTGACTCCCACCTCCCTTGTCCCCCCAGAATTATTCCCAAAGGACAGAGCGGCCAGAGCCCTTGGATGTGAAGGCAGAGGACCACGGAGGTGACACAGTGGCCAGGGCGGGCCCTGTGTGGAGTGGGCACCCTGTGTGGTGTCCACCTGTGGCCCCAGGAGTCACGGTGCTCCCGGCCCCCCTGACCTCATGTGCGCAGCGCAACTGTCCTCATGGGGCCAGATGTGTGTGGGGCCAAATGGCCAAGGCCACTGGAAAGGGACTGGCTGTGTCTGTGACGGTCAAGAGGCTGCAGTGGGATGCACTGCGCTCTCGGGCACCCACCTGAGTTATAGTAGTGACAGCCATAAAGACGGCCAGAACTTTTGTTTGTTTGTTTGTTTTATTTTGTTGTTTTGGTCCTGGGGATGGAACCCAGGGCCTCCCTCACTGAGCTCCATCTCCAGCCCTTTTTATTTATATTTTATGTTGAGACAGGGTCTCACTAAGTCACTGAGTTGTGCAGGCTGAGGAGGGGGGATCTCCCATTCGAACCCAGCCTGGTCAACCTGATATAACCCTGTCTCAACATAAAAAATAAAAAGATCTGGGGTGCAGCTCAGTGATGAGCACTTGTCTAGCTTACAGGAAGCCCTGGGTTCCATCCCCTCCATACACATAGACAAATAAATAAAATTTAAAATATTTTTTTCAGTCGCCTCTCTGGACTCTAAATATTCAATAGTCTCAGGTGCATGACTCCCTTATTGAAAAGAGCTGGTCTGGGGCCGGGGATTTAGCTCAGTGGTTTCACCGCCTACTGCACAAGCACAAGGACCCAAGTTCAATCCCCCGTACCAAAAAAGAAAAGAAAAGAAAAGAAAAGAAAAGAGCAAATCTGATCCATTAAATGATATGCCAACAAATTGTCTGTCCAGAGCCAGACAGTTAATTTTTATTTTTATTTTTATTTTTTGACAGTTAATATTTTTGGTAGACCACATGGTCTCAGCCAAAATTATTCAACTCAGCTATTGCACCTTGAAAGCAGCTATAATCAATATAGTCAGAAAGGGTTATGTCTATGTGACAATAAAGTTTTATTTATAAAAACAAGTGGAGGGCCGGAATTGGCCCAAGGGTTATATTTGTCCATGGACCCCTATGCTAAACTATATTTGTATACATTTGACCTTTCTTTCTACAAGTCTTAACTGGGCAGCTGCTGTATAGCAGACATGGTTCTGAAGATGGGATCGGGCACACAGTAGGTCTCTTTTTTTTGCCAGGTGTGGTGGTACACACCTATAATCCCAGCCCTTGGGAGGCTGAAGCAAGAGGATTGCTGCAAGTTCAAGGCCAATCTGGACTACAGAGTGAGTTCAAGACCAGCCTGAGCCTGGTGTGACTGCATATACCTGTCATCCCAGCACTCCGAAGGCTGAGGCAGAAGAATAGCTGTGAGTTTGAGGCCAGCCTGGACTATATAGCAAGGCCAGCCTGAACTACATAGACCCTGTCTCAAAAAAAAACAAAACAGGGCCGGGGATTTAGCTCAGTGGTTCCACCGCCTGCCTTGCAAGCTAAGGACCCGAGTTCGATCCTCGATACCAAAAAAAAAAAAAAAAAACCAAAACAAAGACCATCCTGTCTCGAAAAAAAATTTACTCTCTTTTTTTTGGTTCTTTTGAAACAGCATCTCCCTATACAGTTCAGGCTGGCCTTGAACTTGTGTGATCCTCCTGCCTCAGCCTTCTGAGTGCTGGGATTACAGGTATGCACGACCACATCTGGCTCAGGGGATTGCAATTTTTTCTTTATTTTTAGTTTTTTTGAGACAGGGCCACATTATGTAGTTCAGGCTGACCTTGAACTCACTATATATCCCAGGCTGGCCTCAAATTTACAGTGGTCTTCCTGCCTCAGCCTCCCCAAGGGCTGGGATTACAAGTGTGCACCACTAAGCCTGGCCAGGTGGTCAGGGAGGGCTTCCTGGGGGAGCTGTTTTTTGTTTTTTTTAAATTGGGAGGGCCAGGGATTTAGCTCAGTGGTTCCAGCGCCTGCCTCGCAAGTGCAAGGTACCCAGTTGGATCCCTGGTACCAAAAAACCCAAAATAAAACAAATAAAATTGGGAGCTGAGTTTGAACAGAGGTTTGTTTTATTTTTTCCGGTACTGGGGATCAAACTCAGGACCTTGTACTTGCCAGGCAGGCACGGTGCCACTGAGCTACACCCCCAGCCCTTGAGCAGAGATTTGAAAGTGACAGGAGTCAGCCACGGGGAGATCCAGGAGAGAGTACCCTAGAATGAGAGGCCAGAAAGTGCAAAGTTCCTGGAGCAGGACCATGCTGTGTGTGGAATATTGGATGGTGATGCTAAAGTGATGGGCTAGTTAGCTTTCCATTACTGTTACAAATACCTGAACTTATCAGCTTATAAGGAGCAAAGGTGTATTTTGACTCAGTTTGGGAGGTCCCACTCCATGGACTGTCAGCCTTGTTGCTTTTAAGCCTATGGCAACACACACTGTAGAAGCAAGCTACTCCTTCAAAGGGGCATGAAAGCAGAGAGGAGGAAGCTGCTGAGGTCCTAATAGTCCCTCTGAGGCCACGCCCCATGACCTCACTTCCTCCCACAGACCCCACCTCTTAAAGGCCCCACCACCTCCCAATTGAGGACCAAGGGCCGTTGGGGACATTCAAGGTCTAAAGTATAGCACGGGTAGGGGAGATGGGAAAACGCACTTAAGGCCTTGTGAGTCATGGTAAGTGAAGAAGACTGGGATATAGGAGAGGGCAGAAGTGGGGAGGAAGAGGAGGAAGAGGAGACTGCACAGGCCCAGCCTTGAAGATGGGCTTGGCGGATGGGGACAGAGAGGAACCTGGTGCCAGAGAGGGGCAAGGGGTGACCGTATCCTGAGGGCAGAGCTGGCACATTGCAATTACCATGGCCACATTCACCTGAGGGATAAGAATAAGATGGGCTCACAGGTGCATGTCTGTCATCCCAGCACTCGGGAGACTGAGGCAGGAGCATTTCTGTGAGTTCGAGGCCAGTCTGGGCTACATTTTGAGACCCTGTTTCAGAAAGAGAGAGAGAGAGAGACTATCCCACATCCCAGGAATGAGAGAAGATAAAAAGAAAATAAAGAAGAAAATTTCAAATAGTTGAGGGTTCAGCAAAAGTGCTGATATGATAAAGAGGGGAGGAACAGGGGCTCCTTTGCTGGGGGCCAGCAGAGGTGGCCCCTCAGCTGTCTTTGATTCATTAAGTAGCAAACATTCCTGAATCTGTCACCATCCTGACACAGAGTCAAGCAGGGTGATGAGAGGCCATTTCCTGGCAGAGGAGCCAGCAAGTGCCAAGGCCCTGGGGCAGGAAATGTTTAGCTCAGTAAATATTTGTTGATTAAATGAACGACAGATGCTTTGAGAAGAAATTGATTGCAGGGATTCGGCAGTGGGGGCCACAAGGAGGGCGATGGCTGAGTTGACTGGAAAGTGGACAGGAAGTTGTCACCAGCACGGGAGCCAGAAGAACTCAAGGCAGAGGGGCCAGATTTTCTCTATCCTGTTCTGGGAGTAGACAGGACTCCTGCAGGGCCCCTGGGCTCTGGGGGACCCGACATCCGGTGACACTGGAGAGCAACAGTCCCCGTAAGTAGGGGATAGGTCATGGCAGCGCCAGGACATCCAGACTTTGGTCTTTGCCCACTGCTGGCGGCTGAAGCACAGAACACCCCGATAACGGTCTTCCCGCCCCTCCCCCGCCTCCCCCTGCTCACTGGTCCTTCACCCTGTCCGTCAAGCCTGTCCGCCAATCAGCACCCGGGCCCGGGCTGGGTTCTCCCGGGCACTATTTCAGCATCTTTAGGGGTGGTGGCCCCGGCACAGAGAGGAGTGACAGCCGCTCGGGACCTCAGCTCTGAGGAGGAACCCAGGACGTCAAGCATAGCCTGTGGGGCCCATGGATGGGGATTTAGCCGCTGGCAAGGTGAGTCCTGGTGGGGGTCATGAGGGACAGGACCCTTGGGAGGGGCTGCAGCTCCCTGGCACAGATGGGAAACTGAGGCCAGAGAGAGCAGGTGAAAGAGGGCGTCTCCATGTGTCCCTCTCTCTAGCTATTGTAATGAAACCTGCTCTCTGGTGTGACGCCTCACTCCTGTCATCCCAGCACTCTGGGAGGCTGAGGCCGGAGGATCCCGAGTTCAACCTCAGCCTGGGCAACTTAGTGACTGAGCGAGACCCTGTCTCAAAAGGAAAACTAGAAAAGAGCTGGCGATGGAGCTCAGTGTGTAGGCCCTGGGTTCCAACCCCAGTGCCGCAATTAAGAACAAAAGAAAGAAAAGAAAAGAAACCAGTCCCCTGGCTCCGGGTCGGGGGCTGACGGCCTCACACCTGTCCCCTCCCCCCAGATGGCGTCGCCCACCTGCGCCGTGGGTCCCATTGACAGCCTGGAGCTCCTGGACCTCCTTTTTGACCGGCAGGATGGCATCCTGCGACACGTGGAGCTGGCCGAAGACTGGGGCCCCGCTGCCGAGGACCAGGTGACCCCGCGTGGCCCACCGGGCTCCACGGGAACGACGCTCAAAGCCGGCAACTTCTCCCGGGCCAGAACCGAGTCGTGGCTCCCGCCTTGCTCCTGGCTGTTCCCCTGCTAGTGGCTTTATTTCCTTCCAGCCCCAAACACCCTCAGAGAAGCCTTACCTCCGGCTTGAGAAAGGCCTCGAGGCCCAGAGAGGGAAGGCGTTTTGCCCAAGGCCATACAGCGATCCTCACTCCCACCCCTCGTTCTGCCTCCCCCAGGCGCTGCCCGGGTCAGACTCCGATGACTTCCTGAACTCCATCCTGGGCCCTGGTGACTCAGCCCCCAGCTCCCCGACCTGGTCCCCTGCGGCCAGTGACAGCAGTGTCTCTGAGGACCTGCCCTCCGACCCCCAGGACAGCCCTCCACGCGGCGGGGGCCCAGGCACCGCCCTGGCTAGCTGCCCTTCCTACCTCTCCAACCCCCCGGGTCCTGCCAGGGCCCCCAGGACACAGGTGCTGGAGGCCTCCGTGGCCATAGATCTGGGTGAGTCGCCCTGGGAGGGACAGAGGGGCCCAGATCTCACTCTGCTCCTGGGGCCTGTTCTGGAGAGGGGGTGACAGAGACCCTTGAGGTTAAGCAAGAACCAAGGTGGGCATGATGCACATGCCTCTTATCCCAGTTATTGGGGAGGCTGAGGCAGGAGGATCCCAAATTCAAGCCCAGCCTGGGCAACTTGGTCACTTAGCAAGACCCTGTCTCAATTTTTTTTTTTTAAAGAGGGGGAGGCTGGGGATGGAGCTCAGTGTGAAAGCCTGGGTTCCATCCCCAGCACCTCAAAAAAGAAAAAAATTAAAGGGCAAGAGATTACGGGGTGCCCTGGCCTCAAACTGCTCCCCTGGACTGCGTCACAGGCCATATCAGATGACAGATCAATAATGATTTACTCCTGGGACATCGAGACACCCCTGATGGCCAGGCACAGCCCCGGTGGAGGTATTTGGCCACTGGGTGTCCTTTGTCCCTTCCTGGCGAAGGCTCTTAGGGGCCTCTTACTGGCGAGTTGGTGAGACGGTGGGAGGCTCAGAGTTCCCAAGGTCACCCAGCTCCGCCCAGTCGGGTGGTGCTCAAAAGCTGTGAGCCTACTGTGTGCCAGGCACCAGAAGGGGTGGAGCTAGGGGTGAATCTGACCTAGTCCTTGCCCAGATACTCCCTTCTGGATGGGTAATGGGTCCTCTGATGGTGTCATGTATTTCTTAAAGTTGTATTCATTTTGTTCAGTCCTGGAGTTTGAACCCAGGGCCTTCACGCTAAGCGGGATCCCCAGCCCTTTTTATTTTTTGTTTTCAGACAAGGTTGCATGGAGTCACTAAATTGCCTGGGCTGGGCTGAAACGTGCGATCCTCCTGCCTCAGCCTCCCAGAGTGCTGGGGTGACAGGAGTGCACCTCTCCACCTGGGGCTAATGTCCTGTACTCTCTTTAATCCCGTGAGACAGACACAGGTGTGCCAGGATGAATTTGGGTTCTGTCTGACAGCCAGGAGAAACTGAGGCTTGTCCCCTTAGACCCAGGCCCTGGTGACCCCAGGCTGTGGCAGAGGCCTAGGGGCATTGAAGGCAGTGCTTGATGCTTGCTGGGGTGACTGGGAGAGGCTGGGTATGAGGCTGCCCGCCTGACCCTCCCTGCCTGTCCCTTCGCCCTGCAGACATGTGGAGTGCAGGAGCCCTCTACCCCGGGCAGCAGGCCGGCTCGCCTTCCTGCTTTGACCTGACCGTGAAGGAACTCCTGCTGGCCGGTGGCAGCGGGGACCTGGTGAGAACCCCGGCCATCAGAGCAGGCGGCTCAGGGACCCCAACATCTGGCTTCAGAGCCTGGAAGCACAAGTCACAGAGAGGGACAGGGATCAGCCCAGGGTGACAGATGAGCTAGTGGCTTCCAGTTCTGTGTCCATTACTGTCCCCCAGCCTGGGCCACTGTCCACTGTAGGCAGGACCAGAGTGTAGGGAACAGGGGAAGGGGATGTTACCCGAACCTCTGCAGTGAGTCCTAGTCTCCTGTGAGCCACGGCAGCACACGGCGAATTACAGGAAAGGTAGAAAAATGAGACTGAGAAGAAGC